GCAGTCATTAATCCTTAATAGTCATTCTGCCCTTATATAAAGCACAGTACACAGATGATCAGATGAAACCAGATACTGTATGGGTTGTTTTTCCTGTGCTGTCCACTTAAAATAACAGGACAGGGGTCAGGTCAAGCCACTCCTTTGCAGCTGGGTTTGAACCCCGACGCTGAGAAACGGGCCCTGGCTCGCAGATTTATCGCGTGCTTCAATCAGAAACCCAACATCAGTATAACAGCACAACTCAGGTGTGTGTGAGAGACAGGATGGACTGCTGATGAACAAGACTGCTTACCGCCATCATGGGGCACACCCAGCAAGGCCCAGAAAGGCAGGCAGGGGGTTAAAATCATTGGGGCTTGCCTGTATTTTCTCCTCATCCCAAGGAACAGCACAAGCATTTACTACCAAAGGAATTCCAGAAAATAAAAATGAATTCCATAACCTTTTCAGCTGCTTGCTACTAGTTCGGTGACAATCCAATTTCATATTCTTAAATGTGGCCTAAGTCATTCAGACCTGGCACAATTAAGTCCAGTGCCCCATGAAGAGGTGTTAAAAAAACATTCCTACTGGTAGACACGGTGAAGTCACTCTCGGAAAATGAACCTCCTCAGCGGAAGGTCTCAAAGGAGAGCAAGATACCTCTGGACTGCGCCCGGGCACACAGCCGTGCCGGCAGGCTCCCAGACTCACTGATCGTCTCCGGGACAGCCGCAAGGATCCCCGCAGGTGCTCCGCCGGCGCCACAGCAAGAGCAGCTCCGCGGGAGAGTGCTGAGGGGAGGACAGCATGTCCGCGTGGCAGTCCTTCTCGCACAGCCAGCCTGGGTCCTGACCCCGGAGAGACGATAGAGAGGGGGGGGCAAACCTCATTACCCCTGAAACAGCGAAGGGACGTCGGCTGGAAGCAGCAACCTTTTCAAGCTGCACGCCACTGGACTAACCTGAAATTTTCGAGGCCCGATCGCTGCCATCCATATACCCATGCTGACATCTTCACCCTACAACGAACAACACCCGTTGGAGAGGAAAAAAAAAAACTTTCGGGTGTTCAAACTTTATCAATACAAAAAATAATTCCTTAATATCCTCCTAAATGTAAGAAATGGTTAAAATAACAAAATCAATTCTAGTAGGATAAAAGGGTTTAAAACGGTTATACAAAAGCACTTAAAGGACATCTTTAAGTGATCTGGGGAGAGGCCTGACGAGAGGGGGGCCGTGGGTCTTGTTATTGTTAGTGGGTTTACAATTCCTCACCTTTTGGAACGGCTTCCCCTTCACAAGTCAGGGCCCGACCTTGATCAATGTTGACTCATCTAATAGTTTGCAGCAATAACTGTAATTTGAGCTGATAACTGGTTGCCATCCACGAAGCCTTTAGTTGTCTCAGGAGATTGTTACTTATTTATTATGGGATAAACACGATTTACGTCACGTGACGCAAGTTTCCGTTTTTGCATCACTGTATTCGCTATTTCTAGCCCTGGAGAGATTAGTTGCGGTGGGAGAACGCCTCGCCAGAACGTGAGATTTTGACAGCGTCATAGACGTTCTCGCAAATCGCTAAGCACGCAAAGCTCCCGTGTTGGAATTTGTACGAATGGTAGTGTACTGCAGTGCTGTGCTTATAGTTTAACGATTGTTTGCGTAGTAATTTAAATGTGGTATTGGCACGATTTATATGCACAATGCCAACATGTTCACGTAGTTTCCAAAGTACGTTACAGTTTTTTTCTTTTTTCAATGGCATATACTATAGTGAGTGTTATTCACCATAATATTCTGGCTTTCTTACTATCGTAGGCCTACTTTATTCAGTTTGATGGCGTTCATGGTGAGGTTTACATTGTGTGCTGTCATGACATTCAGAATAACACAATTAACATTTACTTCGTTTGGACATTTATAACTCCAGTAATTTAAAACCAATTTTCAGGGGCCCAGAAAGACCGTCTGCCCTGGGACTCTTGCTGGCTCTCAGCGCCCCTGACAGGGGACAGGGAGGTTTTAGTACCTGGTAGGCCTTCAGCCGTTCAGCATCGTCTGCGAGCCACTGGATGAGATCCTGCGAGGCGACGTAGCCAGAGCCACAGGCGAACGCAGGATAGGCTGGGCTGGCATATTCCAGCTCCTGCCACTTCCCAGTGCGGTCCACTGCCCAGCTCTGTCTGAAACTGCACAGGATACCGACGCTGAGAGCACTCTCACCCTGAACACTCACCGCCCCCCCCCGCCCCCGTCAGCACGGGCACACTCCCCCGACACGAGAACACACACACACACAATCCCCCGACACCAGGGTACGACACTCCATACTGGGCTGTCTCAGAAAATGTGCTGGAATTATGCAGAAGAGCCAAATTCAATCATTCACATGACGCATGCGTTATCTGTAAGGTAAATGGAGAGAGCATCCGTGCTATCCTGCTGTACTACCGGTTGTACTCACTTCCCCCACCAAAAATTCCTCCTCCTCAGCCCTTTGTGGTCTATCTTCATTAACACCGCGTCTACGTCGATGTAACAGTCATCATCCGTCTTCAGAAGCAGATCAAAGTCTGCATTCCTCACAGCCCTGGTGGAAGGAAAATCGGTATCGAGTTAAAACCCTGTTCCCCTTCCCTTTTAAATTGCTTTGGCTATTTAATGAGATTGGAAAAATAAATCTAGCAACCAGCACCACATCCTTGTTGACTTGACTGCAGTGACCTTCCAATCACATGCACTGTAATATTCCGTTAGGAAAGGGCTAAAATAATGAAGAACATTCTCCCTTAGAGAACCATCCCAGTATTTAATCAAGAACTTAATCTTCTACCTGGAGAGTGCAGCAGACATTTCAATACATGCCTGTCCCCCAGGACTCGTGGAGCCCTACCATTTGTAGAACTGCAGCAGTTTAGAAGGCACATTTCTGTACGTGTCCACCACATCGACGAAGACCATGTCTCCATGCTGAAGGCTCTCCCTCTGCAGAGCAGCGTCCTCCTCTAGCAGGGCTTCAGCATGACTCTTCACCCGCCCGGGCCGTCCCCTCAGCATCTCCGCCAGGCCCTCCGTGTCTGGGGCACAAGAAGACGAAAGAGGTTCGTGACAACAGGAGACGTTTAGCCACTTGGATGCCAGCAGATCGCCCATCAGGGTCTCATCCAGGAGCTCCTTGAAAGAAGTCAGGACATCCGCTCCAACAGCACGGCTGGGCAGCCTGTTGCAGACTCCTACCACCCTCTGTGTAAAAAACACCTTGTGTTCTCATCAGCTTTAATTTAATTTTGCCCATCTAGCCCATTTGAGCATTAGTAGTTAACTGATCCAATGCCTTTGCAGATTTTCAATATTTTAATCAGCTTCAATCAAAAAATTGGTTCCTTTACCCTTTCCAAACAGGACATTCCTTAAAACCTGAGAAGATATCTGATCACTCCTCCTACAGATCAGCAATATCTTTTTTGTAATATGGTAACTAAATCTATATACAACACTGTAAATGAGGTTGTACTACAGTACTGAATAATTTTGCAAAAACAGGATAGCCTTCTGCAAACCCAAAACCATAAACTGGATGAAGCAGTTAGAAAATGCATGGATGTACAGATATCCCTTGATTTAAAACGGATTTTAACTATTTCCCAAATAATTTATTTGATTTTGAGAACAATGGTCAGATGGAATTAATTCTTTGATTTAAATGCCACGCTTAACTATAAATATGGAAATGCCCTCTCAACAGATATCTAAGTATTTTTCCTAGCATGGCCTCTTCCTGCAGTCTCTCATTTTAAATTAATCACATGCGTGTTAGCGTGCTGAAGAAACATCATTATCAGATGGTTAAGCTATTTTATACTTCAAGTTTCTTCACATATGATTCCAAATTAACATTCTCATCTGAATTCAATCACATACATACACGTCGATGGTCAGGCGAGATTTGGTTTGAAGATGAGGATTATTTGTTTCAATCAATTGCTGCATTGATCCGCTGAGTCCAGTGTACTTTTGTTCTATGTCTGAGATGGCACATTTGAAAAGTGATTGATTAAACTAAAGAAACTTGAACACACTCAGGCGTGAAAACAAAGACTTCCAGAGTTCATCACTTGGTCACGAAACTGAAACCGAATTGTTTCTTGCACTGCAGCTACAGTGCTCGAGCTCTGCGTTTTAATATGGGCCCTACAGATCAAGTAAAACTCAACAATATTCTCAACATCATGTGAAATCGGAGACAACTGGCTTTTTTTTGTTTCTTCTTACTTTTCAGGGAACATTAAAGGTTACAAGAGAATACAAAAGCAAACCGCTTGGTCAGGGTTTCACCTCCAAGCTCCTGAAATATGTTCAGCTACATTAACAAGCTCCATGGACACAATGCCTTTACAATTTTCAAGAATCGACCAGTTCAATCGGCACACCCCTGGAAGTTTCGTGGAGAGGTGGACTCACCGTACACGGTGAACGTGAACCCTCCAGCCAGGCCAGGGACCCCCTGAGTGCTCCGATGTGGTAAGATGCCATCCTCCGGCTGAAACACACAAGGGCCATCATTTCCATCGCTCCACAGAGCTTGGTCACCCATCCAGCCATTTTATCCCGTACTGGGTCGCGTACAGGGAGCTGGAGTCTATCCCAGCAAGCAAGGAGCACAAGGCAGGGTACACCTTGGATGGGACGCCAGTCCATCGCAGGGCACACACGGACAAGTACACACACCCACACCACCCGGAGGAACCCCCAGTGAACCCGGGGAGAACATACAAACTCCTCACAGACAGCACCCCAGCTCCTGGGCCCCAGGCGCAGCGACGCAGCAATGCTGTCGCCACGGGAGGTTTTCAGTGCGCAAAAAAAACACAGAACGAAAAGTAAAGATGTTAAATCCTTCATTTTCAAAATAAATCACTTAACCTGGTTAAAAAAGTCCAGATTGTTCCCTTCTGTTAAGCAGAAGAGAGTATGGGACCCCCACAATGCTGGTCCCCACTGGGCGAACTGGATCAGCTGGGGTACAGTACGGCTCTCAAGATACAGTGGCAGTGTCTGTAGCGGGGATTCGAACCCACAACCCTCCAGTTACGAGTCCAAATGCATATCCACTATGCCATGCCAACCACTGCCCTATTTAATTGGTGACTTAATTATATATCTGTTTAACTTTCTGAAAAAAAAACTTTTCAATTTATCCTGTGCAAACTGAACTCAAGAACCAATTTCTCATGGCTGTGAGAATGACATAATATTCTGTTCAGAACATTCAAACATCCGAATAACACACCAGTGCAAACCATTAAAATAAAAAAAAGGTCACTACTGGGGTATGAAGAATGGTCAAGACCACGTACTGGAGAAACTCTCACCACCCCACCCCCGCTGTTAAACTGCACTGCAGAGACGTTGGCTGTGATGAGGCTCTCCGAGTCCACACTCTCCCAGACCAGCGTGCCTTCGAACCCCTGGGGACAAGACCAGCGAAAAGCCACGGTCACACCAGGACAGCCTTCTGACAAGGTTCACACTCCTGAACTGGATCAGTCCACACACAGATCACAACATCCGCGCTTGATCTGGTGTGTGCCAAACACAAAACAGATCTTTGCCATATTCAACTGTCCACTGCCTAACAAAAAAAAATCACCTAAAGCATTATTCTCCTTCAGTCAGGTACAGTATTGGCAAAGGACTTTAAATTAGTTTCCATTTCTGATGGGTTTCCCGGCCTCTGGATCACACCGCCACCTACAGTACGACCGGAAGCTGCAGACTCACCTTTGGCAGGATGAACTGCTCCACTGGTTTGTACCAGACCCCGTTCACACTGACCCCAAAGCTGATTGGGCTGAACCGGGCTGTAACGATCGCTTCCTGAGAAAGAGAAACAAAGCAGGTCCTGCCACTGGAGCCACAGCAGGAGACAAGGCGAGGATTTTGGGCATCGACCACCCAGGTTATATTTTCTTTGCACTGTGTTTGAAAGGTGATGGTCGAGGTGGGAGGGAACATGAATGAATAGCCTTTTGCACTCTGGTTAATTAGAGAACTGCCTTCACACAATTTTCTCACAGCTACATGCAGCCCTGAGTCTGGGAAAGGCGAAAGGGGTGAATTGCTTCTACATGTTGAATAACTTCAGGCATGTTCTGAAATACCAGAAAAGGCCTCTATGGCCACAGAATTATCCCGCTTGCTGAACGGGACACATCCGCTTCTCGGTCCAGCAGCTGGGACCTGCAGCAGGAAGGAGCAGGGAGAAGCTCTCACCTCCTGCTCCAGCTGGAAGAGCCTGACGGTGACGTTCCTCCTGAACCCCTGATCGGGCCCGTCGGGGAACACCCCCAGCCGCGTGATCACAATGGGGTGCAGGACTTTGAAGTCCAGGCTGACAACCGAGGCCTCCGAGGCAGAGAGGACAGAGGCATCCGGCATGGACAGGATTTCAGTTTCCTGCCCGGTCACTGGGATTAAGAGCAACAGACATGAGGCAATGACTGACCACAGCATCCCTTTTTTAACTCAGTGTCTGCCAATTAACTCTCGCATACCTGCCACAGCAGCACAATCAGTTCACTGTAGGTTATTACACAGCTGAGCAAATGGTACATTTAGTTCTGAGTACTACAGCTCAGTTATAACTCATGGCCACGATGCACAAGTCCTAAACTGCATCAGCACATCCCATCTACAGACATCTTTTTCAGGATAATCACTTAGAAAAATATTTTTTTTAAAAACCCACAAGCACCACGATATCAATGAGAACGGCAACTCCGCATATTTTGTTCAAGAAAGAAAAAAATCAAAAGCACTGAGTATAGACGCCAAGAGCTTAATGAAAAGCACAAGGCTGTTAAAGAAGAAATATATTTTTGCTTTTTACATTTTGGGTATGAGCTGCTTCTCTGTGCCTCTAGACTAAAGCCAGTCTAAGACAGTGGAGTTAGTGAGCCAGATGTTTTTCAGTTGCTAGGGGCAGCCGAGAGTGAAGTGCTTTCCAGAGCAATGCTGAATTTCTATAAATTTCCTTGCTAATTAAATGATTAATTCTGCAGTCTTGTCGGTGCAAAACAAAGAACTCGGCCTCACTGAAAAATTGCTATTGGAAACTGTCAAAGTCAACACACAGCCTGATCCTGACCCTGACTTCAAAAGGACTCGAAGACAGGGCTCATGTTTATTTGTTCAATCACACAAAACACTGCAATCTTCCAGTGCAAGGCTGCTCTGTGCATTTTATTCTGCCCTAATGTGCTTAAAAAGACAATTTAAACTTAAAAGACTTCACACGGATGTGCACGCAAAAGATTCAAACTGACTGTCAGCTACCAAAGGCAGCGCAGGGTGGCCACAAGGACAACTGAACCGAATATTCTGGGAACATTTATTTTTATTAACCACTGGGACACAGCTGAAAAATAACTAGAATCATACCCATTTAGTTCTAGCCCAGCTGTGGTGATTTAAGTGCAATTTAACTGGGGGATTCTGCCTTACAATGCAGAATGAAGAACAATGCGTTTGCCCCAGGCGCTTACAGGCAACAACACGAGATACACAGCACTGCTCTGAAGTTCACGAAGTTAGCGCACCCCTTCCTTCCTGCCAGCGACGAATATTGACAGGTGTGTGCCTGCTCTCATGTCTCACGTTTCGTGTTTAACCTAGGGAGACCTTGCTCTGCACCAATAATAAAACATCCAACCTGCGTGAGAGCCAAGCAAGAAAGCAGACCCCTGCTTTGATCTCGGAGGGTTAAATATTTAGTTCTAGTTCTGCAACCTGTAGAATTTTTCATGGAAGTCCCAGAGTGCAGTTCACTTTGAACATACAGGATGGAGAGAAGTCAGAAGACAATCGGACCACACCTGCACCTGTGAGCGTATGAACTCTCAGCGCTGTTCTATAAAGTTACGGGGTGCAATGCCCATCTCCCTGCCGGCATGGTGAATCACGGCCTGTTCCCTCAATCCCAGAAGACTGGCCTTGCTCAGCGGGATTGTGCGCGACTGGAGACTCGTTCACAGTTCGGCCTGCCCTAGGCCCTCACTGCCAGCGGAGAGTCCCGAGCTGGAAGGGGAGCACTCACCTGGCTCAGTAAGGTTGAGCAGGGTGCAGGAGTACAGGTCCTCTCTGTCCTCTTCCGGCACAGCACAGCCATGAGTCCCAATGATGAACTTCACCGCCACCCTGCAGACCAGCACAGCAGAGAGGCTCATGCAGGGCCACGCCCCAGCCAGCAACAACCCCACCCTTCCTTTCCATCTTTAGACAACGCCAAACCGTCAACGCTCGCGGGGGGATAAACTGATGCCAGCAGGAAAAAAACTTGCAGGCAAGACGCTCCAAACGGTGCTGCGTTAATGACCCACTGAGAGGGGGTTCCTTGGAGCAGTGGTGTGTAAGGAGCCAAATAAGTCGGTGCTCTGTCACACCACATCTCAAACAGCCCCACATGCGTCACTAGGGCAACAGAAGCTGCTGGGAAAACTCCTGCAAGGGGCCATTTCCAATGACTGGCTCGAGAATCGACGGGCCTGGGAATCGATGTGTGCTGTAAGCGTGCCCATCGTCGAGCGCATGCGATTCTCTGCGCTCTGCTGCCAAGTCAGACAGCCCGTTTAAACTTGGCAGCTCTCTGGCAATAACTCACGTTGTAAAGGCACTGTTTCACTGAGGAGGGCTGAGAGAGCCATACCTCTGTCCTGCTGTCCCGAATGCCTGACCTACACCGACACAAGCACAGACACTGGGAAGAAGTGATATTGCCTGGGGGATGTTAAACCGTCAGAAAGGTATATTCTCACAGGTACAGGAAAATAGGGCCGGGGTGCAGGGATAAGATAATGTGCCAGCTGGACGTTAACGGATGTCGCTAGAACGTTAATTACAAATTACTGAGTGAAATTAATTTCCAATAGGAAATTCAACATCCCGTTTCTTCTCGTAGCGCAGGAAAGGTCTTTGGCGAACTCATTGGGGACAGCACCACAGAAGTGCCCCCGCTGCCGGCCACAGGGGAAAGTCCCACCTGACAAGGATCGATCATTGCCCTCATTTGCAATCTGCAGAAAATGACATTAAAACTCAATACGCACCGGTGTCGGAAATGAGGGTGCTGTCGGAGGTACCCAAGCCAAGTATTTCTTATCGCCTCCCTGAGACCATGATGATGTCTTGCGGACAGCACTCCGACAAGAAGCTCGCAAGAAGTACACTCCTGACCTATTTGTAAGACACCAAGAAGCCCAGTTTCGACATTAAGCGCAAAATACCGTTTTTATTTATTTCAGCATTTATGCATTTGCCACCAAAGTACGGACACCAGTTCCTTATAATGCTTCATTAAAAACGCCCTTTAAACTTTACAACTGTTCAATACCTGGCGTCATGTTGGGATGTGTTATTTGGCGTTTTTACACCAACAAGAACAGTCATCAGAAAACGGGCATGGATATATGACCTTTATTTTAAAACAGCCCAATGCAATCCATATACAGACAAAAGGGAGAGGTGTATGATGCCTTTTAAGATTTTTCATACTCCTGACGAAGGCAAATGTTGCAACAAAACTGCTGAATTAAAACTACTACGCTAAAGATCTGCATTTCCGAGATGTAAATATAGTTAATAGTAATATATTTCGTATAAGTTTTTTTCACTCCCGTACAAGTAACTCAATAAACAAATCGCAGCGCCAGTGCAATTTATAAACTAGCGAACTCGACGGAATTTTTTTATTTTTAGGGACGTCTACAGCTGTCGCTTCATCTCCCAGATTTCTGAATACTAAAGAGAGCTGTACTAGAAGTGACCGTCACAAGGAGTAAAAAGTCAACTTTAAACTTCTCACTTACTTTTAATCGCACGATGTGCTATTCGTGCAATAGATACATAGTAATTTGTGCATTTTAAAACGATGTGGACAGCCCACGTTCTATTTATGTCCACTGGACAAGGGATATATCGTGTTTTCCTCTCTTGCAAAATTTGATCTGAAAACGTCAGCAACTAGCGTTACAGAATAACAAAAAGTAACAGTATCAAACCGCAGCCTAACTTTAGCAAGACGTTTGTGCGTTTGCTAGAATATAGCAAATGCAAAAATCGAAGACCTCAAGGTCGAACACAAGACTAAACTAAAACGGCTTGAGATCAATCATCGTGGTAAAAAAGCACAGAGCCAAAAACAAAACATAAGAGACAACCGAGCAAGAAAAGCAAAGCGATTTCACTTTCTGTTACGTGCTTTATCAAAAGTTCAAGTTCAAAACTGATAGCAACACTACATACCTGAATGCAGGAGATCCAAAAAGGAGGCGGTTCTGCTTATTACCAACCAAAGATGCACCGCTACCGCGACAACACACGGGCACAAGAGCAACGCTAGGCTTCGCATGGACAGCCTCGTTGGTATAAATCCCGGCGTTTAATTTTGTATGAATTAGCAAGCTCCACGGGACCACCTCGACCCACACAACTCAGTTCCTCAACATAATACACGCCGAAACCCCCATGTCTCCCGGTGCGTTGCTCTGTGGAAGAGGAACGTACAGCCAATAGGAAGAGGGCTTGCAAACCCTGTGCCTTCTGGGACTTGTAGTCCCTCTCCAATGACTCGAGCCACGATCGCGCAAGACTTGGGAGGTACTTTCAACTCAACACCTGCTCCCAGGACCCTTAGCTAGAGCTATGCTTTTGAATTACCCCCCTAAACTGACAGCAGTTAATGAAAACAAAAGAATCGACGTCAAAATGAAACAACCTAGTAAATGTTTATTATTTTTAAATAAATAGTTAAATACTTTTTTGGTTAATAATAATAATAATAATAATAATAATAATAATAATAATAATAATAATAATTTTACATAAAGTTATCTTCTCAGAGCAAAGCACTTTACAGGACAAGTTAAAAAAAACAGTTAAAACAGACACCACACCAATTAAATAAAAGCCTTTCTAAAGAAGTTCAATCGGAGAAGGTTACTCTGATTTCCTTCGGGAATTCAGAATCAGGGTGTAGCGAGAGTCACACATAGGTGACCCAAGGAGACAAACAGGAGACCAGAATCAGATGAATGAAGACTGGCAGGTGGGGAGTAGGAAGATAATTTCAGATAGGTACCCATCTAAGCCTTGAAGGTAGAGGAGTGTAATGCCATTTGTACATGCGCGTTGGAATACTTCACTTTCACATTCTTCATGGGCGGCAGGAGCATTTTGAAGTCGTCACCTAATCTGACAGGAAGCCAGTGCAAGGGCTCCAGGACAGGAGTAATGAGATCACTTGCATTAGACCTGGTCAGGATTCTGGCTGCTGAATTCTGGACATACTGAGGTGAGTTCAGTGTGCCTCTATACACCCCAGTGAGCAGGGCTTTACAGTAATCAATTCTGGAAAAGACAAATGTATTGACATTTGACAACTTTTGTGTTACAGTCAGAGACAATGTAGGACATAGTCTGCCATTGCTTCTGAAATGGAAGAATGTTTTTACAATATTTTGCATGTGGGTCAAACGTCAAGCTTCAATCAAATATCACCCCCCGTTCTTCAATTTAGATTGAAACTCAAAGTCAGAACTATCCACAGATAAGGTTACTGCATTGGTTTTACATAGTTGAGAGTTGCTAGGAGGTGCAGAGAAGCACGACTTCAGTCTTGTCACAGCTCAAATGAAGGACATTTTTAGTCATCCAGGATGTTATGTCAGAGATGCAATTAGTGCAGAAACTGCTACTTCAGTGTCAGGTTGAGTGTGGACGTAGATTTGAGTATCATCAGCATAGACATGATCATTCAGACTGATTTTAGTAACTGACATGTGGGAACATGTAAATGCTCAAAAGTAGGGGGCCCAGCTTCAGGCACCGAGGAACACCAGACGTAACAAACCCAACATCAGAACTGAAACCCTCAAGAGAGACAAAGAGACAAAAGTCTCAAGACGAGAAAGTAAGACATCACAATTAAGTGTCCAAAGCAGCACTGAGGTCAAGGAGAACAAGGATAGTCAGAGAACTGGAATAGTGACTTTAACAAGGGTGGTTTTTGTGCTGTGTTATTGTCTGAAACCAGACTGGAGGGGTTCGAAGAGGTTGTGTTGCGAGCTGTGAGATGGCTGTTTGAATTTTTGCAGCATACTCAAATATGCAATTACACAGTTGGTTTTATTAACTGCATAATTTAACTACATTTAGCCAGACTATGAGTAAGGTAACTATACCTTAAATATAGTGACTTATACTGTATTTAAGGTATAGACTTAGACTTATATATGGAGCAGGCAGCCTAAATACCTTAACAAATATCTTGTATGTCTGTTAATGTAATCACTTGGGTTGGAGGAAAAAATGTCTCTTGCATGCCAATACAGGAGACAGTTTCTAAATTTTGTTTAATTATCCTAGATGCTGAAGATCACTTTGATAATCCCAAAAGTGCCAGTCCAGTTCCAGTCGGCAAGGCATAGCTCCTGGGACTCATAATTTTTTTAATATCCGTCATCTGCTGAAGACCAGAGAAAGATGGAAATACTGGCCAATTAAGTAAATTATGAGTTTAAGTACTTTACAGAGGCAAGGATGAAAACCATAAGCATTTCAAGGACAAGACCTTGGGTAGCTATGAATTGATCTCAAATTTGCCTTAAACTGGATTAACAATTTTAATGCAGCTGAAACACTGATCATGATCTGTGATGACTTCCTGATTGTTTTTCATTGGAACATGCAATTTTAGGGTGTGCTAAATGCCACTAACGTGAACACAGTATCATGCAGTCAAAGCAGATTTCAAAGGATGTCCCACAAACTTTTCAATGCATTTTATTTATTCTTGAATGAATAAGAATATATACATTATGTCAGAAGAAAGGTTACAAAAGAGAGGTCATGTGGCCTATCTAGCAAATTTGGTAGTTATTAATTGATCCAAAGATCTCATGCCGCTGTGTCTTGATAGAATCTTGGATACCAGCTTCAACATAGTGGGACAGCTTGTTCCATACTCCCACATCTCTTTGGGTAAAGAAGTGCCTACTATTTGTGGTTTTAAATATACTTAAACAGTGTTTAAGGAAATACATTTCCTAGTTTGTGAACTGTCCCAGCATCTGGTTTTTAATGCACTCTTATATACACAAACACATATAAACAATTACAGCTAACGGGCCACAGTAATTCAGACAAAGAATTCACAAATGATACATTTATTGAAGATTTTTGTTTATATTTTTTGTTTTTTTTTTTACAAAAGAAAAGCTCTGTACAGAGTTACCATGTTACATACATAAACTCCGCAGACAAACTCTGGAAGTTAATAAAAACAAACTACAAAAAACGAGTTTTCTTTAGAATAATCTTACCACATATCATAAAGACATCTTGTGTACAATTCATATTTCTATTCTCTTAATTATAAAAAAAATACATCAAGGTTTATGCTGTGTCTTTTGTTTAGCGTGTGGAGCAAAATTATAATTTAATACAAGTCTTGTTTAAAATTCAGTGCTTGGTAGAGACTGGGTTTGCTGATGTTAATCACTTAACTAATGGAAAAAAAAAAACTAGACTTCAGCAAGACAGGGTGTGAGAAAGATTTTGGTGGATAGGAATTATCATACTGAAGTTTAATACTGTAGGATTCAGTCTGACCAGATAAATGGTTGGATGACAGTCGAGAGGAAAAACAAATTTTAAACAATTGCATTTTTATTGCATTGGATTGATTTTAAGTGTTAAATATACAAAATGTTCCTAAAAAGACATTGTGATTGTTTAATGGCTTCGAGTGAGGCATTGTTTACACAGGTAGTAATAAAAGGCAAAACTTGTATAGGTATATGCATGAAATTTGAATTGAAACTTCAAAATAAAACATTTTGGCCTAAAAACAATCAGTGCTGGGAATCAACTGGCATTTGTTTGTATAACCAAAAGAAAACATCACTACCCCGAATCAGCCTGAATCTCGACTCCATGCCCGGAGGAGAAACATTCAGCCACAAAGGAATGAGGGAATACGAAACTAACACACAAAAGAGATAACTAGAGAACATCCCCCAGGTTTAAAATACATAAATATTTAATCAAAACACCTAGAAAAATATTTTTTTCATTATATTTCAAGGCTTTTTTTTTTTTTGCATCTCCAAGGTACAAAAACTACAGTAGCTGTTCCTATGTGAATGCCTTTGGACACATGTACACAGATACACAGTGAACACAGTGAGAGCTGCCCCACCTTGCAGCCAGGAAGAGCTCCAATGGCACAGCCTTGTGCCTCAGACTCTGGAGAGCCAGTCTGGGCCACTACATTCAAAGCCAAAGCATGACTGGACTCAAAGGTCCACGATGATGAAGAGAAGGAAAGCCTGCATTACGTTTTTACACCTAATTTAAAGTCAGGATTCAAAGGTAAAATTTGACCACCAACAGCACCAAGGACTTAGTCTACAGAAATGTATATATGCTGGGGAGCAAAGTCTGAGATTCATGTTTTGTGTTATGTTCAAAGGGACTTCAGTAGAAACTGGAGTTTTGTTAACATGAATAGTGAAAGAACCGTTGGAAAAACATTAAACAATCTCAGACTTCTAGGCCTCTCCCAAATTAATCTTTGTGAAAAAGGGTCCCCAGAGCTGTTGGCAGAGTGCAAGAGTACCGAAAGAGTTCAAAACACAGGTGCTCCAGATGAGCCAAGGATCTGCACAGTAAGTCTGATTGACAGATTTCGCAACAAAACACCTAGCGACATATTGTTTTTCCTGTAGCCAGTCTTCTCATTTTTTATAAGAATAACTACTGCATTCAACTCTGTCAGCATACAAGAGCATCAGCCCCTGGCCCTCCCAACACTATCTCACAGTACCTTTAACACGCACACAGACACACAATGGCTCTGCTCAGCAGCACTGGGTAGAATCTCCCCACTGCACTTTGATTTCAGTCAAATATCCTCCTGCAGCAGCATACAAGACCAGGAGCAGGAGCAATGGGAATTCCTGGGGGCACAATCTAGCAAGATAAAAACTTGCAGTTGAGGAGGTTTCATTGACATGGTTTCAAGGCCTACGCTGGTATGCAGTGTCTATGAAATGGAGCGCTGATGAAGAAACTTTTAAACTATTTTTATCTGTGTACTTATGACAAACAACTGAAGGGTCTGCATCAAGCTCCTGAACTCGCATGATCTATGACCAGGCCATAGATTTCAACCATATTAAAAACATCAGGCATGTGTTATTTAAAACTGTTTCTAGAAAAGGAGAGGAATTCACGGTCTAAGAAAATAATCATTTTCCTCTCAAGTTTTATAACCTCATCAGCAGAAGGTTGAGATTTAAATAAGAAACTCGGGTAGGGCACAGGAGGATCACTCTGACAAGAACCCCCACACTGTATAGTCCGTGCATTTTTACAGAGCAGTACTGGGCAAGGTCATAAAAACAGTAATACTCCTGAATTCTGTACAGGACAGATAAGGAAATGTGATTTCCGAACAATTCACAGTGGCAAAAAAAAAGTGGGACATATGAGCAAACGTGAGGGGGGTTACGCCAGGACAGCGGGGGGGGGGAACCTGGCTATGGCTGCACATCAGGCCCCTGGAGCCGAGCTGTGTGTCCGTGTCACCATGGAGATCACACGGCAATCAGGGTCAGCAGGCACTCCTGCAGAGCATGGGGAGTAACACACAGAATCCTGGAGTATTCTACGGCTTGCAGGCTGCCAGAAGTAAAACAATTGCCACAGGATCAGTGGTTAGAGCAGCTGAGAGACTGATCTGAGGCTGGGCCTGTGCGCTGGGATGTCGCCAGGTTGCGCAAGTACTGTTCTGCTGCCAGCAGCGGTTTTTGAGGCCATCTCTCGGTCAGTCCTGTCCCCCACATCTCACGGGGCTGAGCGGCAGCGCTTCCTGAGTAATCAAGTACAGAGTGCATCTATGTGTTCGTATACTAATAACCACGTAGTCATGGAGTTTCCATATCATCATTGTGGACCGTATCCACTCCAAAAATGTTTTCTGAAGACACTGAAATACTAAAGTTTGATTATAGTAATGCAATTTAGCATATGCATTTAATTTCATGTACAAAGTCATCGTTTAAAGTATTTTTCCTAACTAAATTTACATTAAAAAACGTAAGTGTACATCTTACTGCTATGTTTTTGGCGAGTGTAGACAGACAATGTTGGATATGTATGATTGATTCAAGTTCAAAAACCTGATAAGTGAAAATGTTTCTCATGGTCTTATACCCGTTTTTGTTATTAAACTAAAAGGGGAGGGGGAACAGTCTTGTTCAAAGGGGAGAACGTGATGCTCTCGGGTGCGGCTCCAGTTTAAACTGGGGAAGAGATGAGAAGGGCTGCTCGAGCTGTGGAAACGCTGCCCATCTCATTTGGCCAAGCCTGCACAGAAAGGCTGTCCCTCTGACCTCTCCCACCAGCTCACAGGCACAGATGCGGGAGCCCAGGTGCTCTCCCGGCACGCTGGAGGGGTGGGGCGGTGGGGCCTGTGACTGGCTGACCTCGTCCTCCCCTCCTCTCTGTTTTACAGATTAATGTTGGGGTGGGGGGTTGCTGTTCAGGGAAACGCCACCTACTGAGGACTTGTCATGGAGAAGACATTTTCCAGCAAACGTCAGTAGTTTCATCTTACAAAGAGTGCAAAGGCAAGTCTGTGAAACTGATTTTGTAAACAAGCAGAGCATGGTAGCAGCTGTCCAGTAAAAGAAAAAGCACAGCAAGGGAATACCCAGTCGAGGATGCATACAGTGTAAAACAATACCTTGGTTAAACATACAAATGCAGTGTTAACAGCCATACCTCCCTTCCTCCTCGCACCACATGTTGACATTGTCTGTCATTACAGAGTGCGCTGCCACACAATTGCCACTGAGGGGTGTCTTTCATGACAGTACAAAGACCTTTGAGGGACTGGAGCCCTTCACTGAGACAGCACTAATTTGGCACTTGATTCTCTCAGTTCCAATGTACCACAGGGCCTTTATCTCAGGTCTCCCCAAGAATATTCCTTGGCTCCTCACTTTCCTTAAAACAAACGAAAAGAATACAACAAAAACAGCCACATGCCATTGCACAAACAGGCGAAAAATAGTTTCTCTCTCAAAATAAAAAAGGATTATGTACAATTTCGGACCTCCTTGGTTCCCTTGCCTTGCCCTGTCCCCCTCCCATCTCTCAAACAAACACAACACACACAAACGAATGTCTCTTTGGCTGAAGTGAGAAGCCGCAGCACCTGCAGTGTGCACATGTTGCAGTAACAGTTCACTAAAAACAGCACACACACACAAAAAGACATTCTCAGTTATACAAGAACATGATCCAAGGACATTGCAGCAACGCCTCGTTCTTCCTATGTTCTTATAGTTTGAACAAACGCTGTAAAAAGGCATCACAATAAATAGTTGCGGCAGTCTCTATAAAATAAGGTCTGGGCTTCCTGGCCTCGATGCCTGTGTGTCCGTGAGTCTGCACATCAGTCAGTCACTTTTGGTATTGTGGGGGGCATCCAGGTTGACCACCTGCAGCTCGGTCAGGTTGCTGCTGCTGCTGGGCTGCTGGCCAAGCACCATCTACAACACAGCAGAGAGGCAGATCTGAGGCAGCGGTCAAACACGGATCAGACATCACAGTGATTACAACACTCTTCTCTCGTCCTGTCCACCCGCAATATAAAGTTCCACCTGGCAGAACCGTGGGCAGTACACTGCACGCTACTCAGTTTCTTGTAAACAAGCAGAATGCAGTTCAAATAGTGATTAAAGCCGGGAAAAATAATTTTCAAAGAATATTTGTAAAAATATCGTGTCGTATTATGTGAATCAGGCATTTTCCTCTTCATTCCCAAATCCATGTCAGGCTAAGGTACAATTAGGCAAAAGCATGTTCTTGAGAGTAAAGAGTAGAGGATGCAGGTGCGATTTTGCGATTGTGATATTTTACTTTGTTACTTTGTTTAAAACATGTAAAAGAGCAAACATGTAAAAGAGACTAACTATATAACAAAGAAAAATAGAGAAATCACTGATGAGGTGTCTCAGTGATGTTGTGTGGACGACAAGGGACGAACATTATATACGTCTTTCCGTACTGGGTGTAGCTGCACAGCGGAGACTGGGATCTGCACTGTTCCTGGAGGTCCTGTGAGGAAAACCTGAGGGACTCCGCCTAAAAACACAACACACCTTGTTAGTTTCTCCTCTTGCTTCTTACACTTGATAACTATGGTCCTTCTGCTACAGGTGGCCTCCCCCTCGCTTGACTCTGGCTCCTCCCCTCTAACCACACCCCCTCCATAGCCCCTCCCACCCAGCTCACATTGACCAGGCTCCAACCCTCCATCAGCTCACCTTGCTCCTGGCTCTGCGTGTGGGAGACCTGCATGGCGGAGGGTGCCTGTGAGAAGGCGTTGAGCACCGCCAGACTGCCGTCTGCCAGCGTGGGCGTGGAGGCGTACATGACCGCATGGGGGCTGGGGTACATCATGTGACCTGCCATGGAGGTGGGTACAGAGGAGGTGACGATGGTGGCGGGAAGGCTGACTGAGGGCAGACAGAAAAGACGGTGCAGTGCACACACATTACTTTTCAGATCCCACAACTCCCCTGAGGTTCACCTCCTCACACTTCTCGCAGATGCCTCTGCACTGTCAGGAGAATTCAAAACAATTCAATTCAAATCCAGTACAAGTTCAACCAAGGACCGTTACATTAGAATTGTAAAATGTGCTAGTAATGCCTCATTTAGAAGACTGTACAATTTTATTCACCACATTATAAGCAGTACGGAGAAGAGCAACCAAATACGTTCCCAGAGTTAAAGAAGTTTCCTACACTGCACTCACATGCTGAAGGTATTGAATGCACCTGTAAGGGCACTTTGCTACAAGTATTCAGAGCCCTTGTACTGGCAACGTAGGGTGGGTGAAGCTGATACACTGGTTTCTTTAAAGAAAAGCTGGATGAGATCCTTTAATTAATTTGGTAGTTAGTAGCTAAAAGGTTTAGATGGCCTCCTCTCATTTGTGATTGTTCTTATGCACAATGCCTGTCAGGATTTTAATTTTTCTTTTACCAGACATGTCCACAGTACCCTTCATTATTATTATTCTAAACTGAACGTGATTCTCACAACCTATCCACAGATGAGACACTTCATTCACTCTTGCAAATCACTGAAAATATTCCTGCTTGATATTGAAAGCAACACACACTAGGTGGCACTATAAGGTAAGGGAAAACCACTATTTATGCTAGAAGATTAGCTGTTTTGCTTCATAGGAAACAAGCAATGGTTTTGTAAAAGCTCTGATAAAGGGAATTCTACGCCAGAAAATGAATTATACTCCATCCATCTGAAATATTTTGATCTATTCATAATTAATCAAAGCTGAAGCCTCCAGAAAAGCATTCTCACAGCACTTACTATTGCATCAAGCAGTGTCTTACAAGGACCCAGGGAAATCAAGGTTTTAGCAACATTCAAAACAAACAGGAGATTTCTTAACAGAATTCTGGAACCAACTCCCAAATGACGCAGCTGAAGCTGACTCTGGGATCCTTTAAGAAACACATGGAATTCTTATATCATTAAACTACTATAATAACAACCAAACGATCTAAACTGTATTTTGGAACTGTAAAAAGACAGGAAAGGAATGGGATTCTTTTATTAATGCATATCCAGGGTAAAAGAATTCATCTTACAGAGTGGAGCTGATTAACATTTCTCATGACGTTTTGTTTGCAATGGTGGTCCCGGAGGAGAAGGTGATGGTGCGTCTGCTTCAATTCTGCAGGGTTGCGCTATGTTCTAAGTAGTGGGTGTATGTGCACTGCCTTCAGGTACAGGTACAGATAGGGAGACATTAAATTGTGAGTGTGGTGCTGTGTAAGCGTCATCGCGGGCACTAAAGTCTGTCAGTCCAGACACACACTATGTGCACGGCCACACCCTTCCCTGTGTGCTTGTGTGTTACACGATCATTGCTCACATGGGTGGCTGCGGTGAACCAAAGCATCTTGTTTGTATTAGGGCACAGAAAAGGAAGTTACTCTGGAATGAAACACAACCATTTGGGTGGAGATCAGTAAGGATGACAGCGTTGCAGGCAATTTGCAGGTGCGAGCATGAATCTCTTCAGTTGCTGCTGTCCTGGGCTGTGGCCAGTGAGTGTGTGTACCTGTGGGAGCTAGCGAGCTGTGTGTGGTTACCTGCAGAGCTGGTGGAGGCCTGAGAGATCTCCGGTCCACTTTCACTGGTGCTGGCCGAGCTCTGCTGTGTGGAGGGGTGCACCTGGATTGCCTGTATCTGCTGAGACACCGGTCCTCCTGGCAGGTACAGAAAACGTAAAATGTAGGTTCACAACAGTGCTACTAAGACAAAGCTCTGCTGAATCATTGATAAAATTAACTTTATCACAGTGTTTTTTACACAAGGCATTCCCTGCTCTTCACTTTTAGCAGGTATTGTTTTGCCACCCCAACAGCTGTGATCTTGTCTGTGCTGTGAGGTCCATAGAGGCCCAAGGACTCAGAATTATTATTCTTATTATTAATAAGTATTAATGGAGCTAAGCATATCACCCATTCAAGCAGAGGTCCCTGTCTGTTGTTCATCTTAAGGTATTACCCAAGTAATGTACATTATGAATGTAACAGAATATAAAATTACAAGTATTTGTGTCACAGCACTAGTCCTTCCTTAAGCACCAGCTGTTCCTGGTATTCAGGTATGTACAGAAGGTACTGTCAAGTGCCCAGACAGCTGAAGGCCAAACTGCACATAAGGGCTCTGAACACTTGCTGTAAGTGTCTGTCATTCGCTCCCAAAAGCTAAGGCCCTCCTGGCAGTTCTGATAGCCTGCCCGCTCGTCAATGAAACAAAACGAAACCACAAATCAGGGCCCGACGTCTGTACCTGCACATCCAGGCTGGACACTGACCTGTGAGAGAGACCGTGGCGGGGAAGCGGAAGACGGCCTGCTGCCCTTGCTGTGCCTGCGATGCCGTGGCTGTGATCGCCTGACCCTGCTGGCCCTGGATGGCCAGAGAGTGGGACTGCATCTGCGCAATGGGAATCGTGGGGGTGCCGGGCGGAAGTGTAGTGCCTGTGGGAAACACACGCACATATTACATGCTGCTGCTGTTGGCTCGGGCTGTCTTCTCCCTGTCCCTCAAGTATTAGCATATACAGTACTAGTTTAATCCTGCAGCAGCATTCAGAAGATACTGGACCTCAGACTAAGCCCTCTTGCTTTTTTTATACCTGGTATATGAACACAACAACATCCGCCCGTCTACCAGCTTTCACAAAAACACCAGACTGGTGGTCTTCATTATACACCCCCACAGACCAAAGGACCCCAGTAGCAGCTCTGATAGAACCCTTACACCCTCCATCACGTACATCTATATAAATCATTTGTACTGAAGCTCCTCTGTTGCTGCCACCCCTGTCCCATTAATCAGTCAGTCCAGCCAATAAAAAAAACTTCAAATCGTAAATCTGTTTTTGCTGTTAGTTGCTGCGCAAAGCATTCGAATCAGGTTCATTCCAAAAGTTAAGATGAGTAAAAGTTGAACTCGTACTGTTTCACATTAACCTAAGGGAATTTGGAGAGCTCTAATACAATGTGGTCTTCCACTGGCAAGTTACTCTTGTGGCCCTCCTTCAAAATATTCAGTGGAGAACACTAAAACAGGCCCTTGTCAAATATGAATTAGCCTAATGCATCTGTAATGTCACGGTCAGCCGTACAGCTATTTGAGGTCACATGTTCAACCTGTCTCCCCATGAAGGTCAGAGCTCATGAATGACAGGGTGGGGCTAGCCCACTACCCCTCCTGTCCCGCCGGATTTATGAATAAGAAGACAGGCCACACACACACAATGTCCTTTTATTTTTCAGCACCAAGAAGCACCTGTCTGTCACATGAGAATGCACCAGCTCATGGAAAGAGACGCTGTGGTCGGCCCTGTTACACAATGGAAAAACTGTCACGCAGAAGCAGGAATCACAGACACCTGTCCACTCCATTCTCACTGCGCAGGCAAGTCACCGTTCAAGGGTGCCTGGTCACAGCAGGCTCATGCATAGTGCCGAAAACAGCTAAATACAGTTTCTACCCACTAGAAGAGAGGAGTCCGCAAGAGCACAGCAAAGGCAAAATACTCCAGGCACCGGGAGCAGTTAAAATAAATCCCTACAGCTTGATGGTACCTTACCAGCTGGAGTAAAGGAAACCAGATTATTCACAGACCTTTAACGAAACTTCAAAAAGATTTCAACAAAATTCAAGACTGAACAAAGACTTGGCAAGTGACATTAAATATAATAAGTGCTACATGCAAAAGGCACAATCAAACTAAAGACATAAAATGGGAAACATGGTGCTTCAGAAAGCAGTATGTGAAGATGACCTAGGTGCTTTATTCCAGTTTTTAATCACAGACTAACTGCCTCTCCATTTTGATGTATGTTTTCAGCTCTTAAAGTTCAATTGGATTTGTAACTGATAGTTTTAACTGTGGAGTCTCTCATACATGGTCATTCCTACTACTATTTTTTAATTCTACAATAAAAACACATAGAACAGATGACATATTTGACAACTGCAATAATACCAAGTTAAAAATGTTAAGCAGACTGGACACAGAACTTGTGTTGTTGTTCAGTCTGTTCTGAGAGTGAAAGAATGTGGGGTTTTTGGCGTGATTTGTCCCAGAAACTTAAAAGAGGAATGAATTCCACACTGATTCCATTGGGGTTGTGATGTCATCATCTGGAATTCTTCCCATGGGTCTCTGAGAGACAGTAGGCAGAACAGAGAGGCCAGACAGACCCACTGCAGCAGTGGGTACACTGCAAACACAGCACAGCACCACATCACAGATCCAATGTTTCCAAACTTCTCACAATGTGGCTTTTTTCAAATTAAACATTAGAGCCCATACAGACACTTCTTTTGTTGTTGTTGGAATATCTAAAGCCAAAAGGTGTCCATGAAAGATTTTAAAGCATGGTAACACAAGTTACTGCTTAGGCAAGTCTTAATAAAAAGGGTAAGCCACATTTGTACGTTTTCAAAAAACCATTTTTATCTGACTAAAATGAAGAGCCTTGCAAAAAACAATCCGGAGCCTGAAAATGACAGTTTGTTCTCCTGCCTAAAACACGCCATTTCAGAAATCATAATCAAGCAGTACGTGTTGAAAACAGGAGTTTTTCCATAAGAATTCTAATGTTGCTTGAACAAAGTACCATGTCAGGATTAGTATTCATTACCCGAGCTGTAAATCCCTGCAATACAGCTAAATGATAATTTCACCACAATCCTGCGAGTCTTCATTGAATATTCATTAATAATTACGGGCTTCGCTCTTCTAGTGCCGACTGTGGGGACTCTGCATTGCTTCCTTTTCTACAGCAGCAACAGATGTAAGACCACTTGCGTCTACTTTTATGGACAATACTGCTGCAAACCTTTGAAAACCACCCCCCAAAAAAGAAACTTGAGAAGGGGGAATCTCAAAAATAGGGAGGACTGAGCTGAAAAACGTCCATAGGCTCCCCCCCCCCACCAAAGGGGTTACGGGAATATGGAACAAGCTACCCAGTTATCTTCTAGATCGAACGCAAAATGTGGAAGTCCATCGAGGGGACCAAGAAACCGCCCTGTCCCCCGGTCCGGTAGCTCCGCCTGCCTACCTGACATGAAGAAGCCCCCAGGCAGCTGCATGACGCTCCCCGAGGAGCCTGTGGTCTTGAGGACTGTGCCGTTGGCGCTGGTGATGCTGTTGGTGTTGCCGCTGGCCGAGACGGGCGCCAAGTAGTTGGTGATGGGGAAGGAGGGGCCGCTGCTGACCTGCATGGTGGTGGAGGTGGTGGGGGCCGTGGGGTTGGAAGAGGTGGTGCCAGGGAGGCTGGCCACTGTGAAGGCGGGCTTCAGTGTGTCCTGCAGAGGGCGACAGAGAGGACACTGTAACGTCCCAGGCAACAGAACATGCCAGACCAGATTCAATCAAATAACTGAACTGAAGAAAGGGAGCCAGGGCTGTTCCCGACAGGGATTGTGTATAAATGCATGATTGGGCTGGATTAAGCTGGGAGCCTCCATTCTCATCATAATAATGGCTAAGAGTGGCAACACAAGAGAAACCCCAAGAATAAAAGATGGAAGCCCCACCCCACCCCCCTCACGCTATATGGTTATGAGCCGTAGCTTAAGATAAGATCACTTTATTGGCCATATACAATTTCCTGTATTAGGAATTTTGTCTTTTTCACATAGCCCAACTTGCTCTCCATGAGACACACAGACAGGGAGAGAAGTTTGGGGTCAGAGTGCAGGGTCAGCCATTCATACAGCACCCCCTGGAGCAGTTAGGGTTAAGGGCCTTGCTCAGGGGACCAATGGAGTAGGATTCCTCTGCTGGCCGCAGGATACGACTGGCAACCTTCCAGCCACAGGCGCAGATCATTAGCCACAGTGCCACCACACTCGTTAGTTAGCTTAGTGGTCCAAGAAGGTCATTTAAATAGAGCCGGAAAGATCTGCACTTTGTTAAACGATGAAATAAGATGGCAGGTGACAGACCGTGAAAGTAACAAAAGTGCTATGAAACTCTCAGCTCCGGGGGTAGTGCGGCACTTATAAACCTGGACTGCTCTGTCAAGAACTCCCAGCAGGTGTGACTCCTTCAGTACAGCACAGGGCTTGGGAGCACAAGGCTACACAACTGTTGTATCAATGGGGAATGAGACACCTCAGGATTATGAGGTTCTGTGGAATCCATTACTGCAGCAGAACAGGTGCTTCTGGAGATAAAAGGTTATTCTATTTACAGTCCCTCGTCAACACAGCTACAGGAGGAACCTACAAAACGCTGACCAAAGGAGGGGGTGATGGGAAGATATGTGTCAGGAGTTAGACTACCTCTTAAACTGCCCCTCGCCACAAATCCAGGACAAAGCAATAAGCAAGTCTTTATTTTGTAAGATGAACTACACAAGAAACATTCTAGTTATTGAAAACTCCCAGTGGAGATTGTACTGGAGTAGCCAGGAAAGGCGCTTCTTGGAAAAAACAAACATTTCTTAGCTCTATAAGTAAAGCACAAAGTACAGTTAAAACTAAACTAATTAGCCTGGGTCACGTCACTGGCTCACTGCGACTGGGATTCCCCAGCTGAGCAGAACTTGCCCAGGGCAGGGTGGACAGTCGCCCCGGGCCTGAACTGGCTGTTGCTGTTCTGCTGCAGGGATCTACATGCGTGACGACTAGGGGTTACACAGATCGGAGAGGAGCACGTGAATTCCTAGTCCAGACGTTTAGCCATTATTCCACCACATGGCACAGCCGATCAACAAGATCTACCGATATGTTAGCACAGGACTTCCTTGGCTAGACCGAACTCTCAAAGAACAGGACGAACAACAGCACTCTTCACAGTAACAAATAGAGAAAAAAAGCTTTTTGTATAAGGGATTCTTTCTAAACCTAGTACGATCCACTCTGTATTGTAATAGATGTCTCCTACATCTTTAAAAAAACACTACCAGTGGCTGGAATCACAGGTCTTGACAGTTCTTAGGTCTAGACCAGCTTACCCCCAAATTATATTGACCAAGATTAGTGCTATTCAAAAGTGAAGCGCTTTTTCTCTAGCTTGGTACTGCCTATGTGCCTGCAGTCTGGAAAACAACCTTGAAGGGAATAAAAAAAAAAAAGTTCAGTCGAGGCACCCTGTTTTATGGAAGGTTTCTATGACAACAGGTTTTGGAGCTAGCTTTTGAAGGGAAGATATATTTGGATGACGCTCATGCAGGTCACTGTATTAAAACAATTCTTTTTAGCCTTTACTTGTGTCTTCACAAGGTTGAGAAGAACACGGGGAGACAGTTTTTTTTAGAACGAGGTTTCTCCAGGACTGGAGTATTTGGAATTCGACCAGATGATGGCAGCCTAATGTAAGAGGTGAAAGACTCCTCCAGCCCATCTCCACCGAGGCACAGCAGGCCGATTCACACTCCCATCTTCTTAACAAACAAGAAGAAACGAGTCCTTGCGCGACAGTCAGGCCTGAGTCACGGCTCCTGCGGTGTGTGGCTGTGGGGTGGGCGAGAGCGAGTGGGTGTTGAGGGACACGCGGAGGAGGGAGGGGGCCTGCAGATCCCAGCCCCTCGGCAGCAGCGGGCCCTCGCTCGGAGGAGGCAGGCTGGCCCCCCAGGACAGCTCAGGAAACGGGGAGGGGAGGCTCGACAAATCAAGCCATCCTCTGCCCTGCCGGGTACATCATGCAAAAAACAGGGAATGTGCAACTAAATGGGTCAAAATCACACCCTCCACCGTATTGTTTTTTTAATACAGCAATGTAACAATAAAACAAAGACTCTTTTAATGCCTGCACCGCAAAAACAGGTATTTTAATGGATAGAAATATCAAAAAGTCAAATGTATAGATCGATGCTTATTCCTCTCAACTTCAACTCCAGCATGTAAATGCTTTTGGGTCGATGGGCTGGTGGTATTCCTCCCTGGCCTTCTTCACTACGGGCCACTTTGGGCTCGTGCAGATACAGGCTCCTGTGCTGGCGTAGTCTGATCGCCGGCAGTACTGGGTAATGGGATTGGCCAATGACAGGTTTTCCTGCTCAGAGAAATCACTTGGCAAGTATTTTTCAAACATTTGTCATCACATGCGATAAGCCTACAGCCACTATCACTTATGACTGGATTCTTCACGCCGATTTAGGTCTCTTCACCGTGCAAATGTTTCCATTTCCTGGTAAAACAGACACAGGCCTAGCCGACGAACTACAGCCATGACTAAAATAAGGTATGATGAGCTTGTCACCACAGTCCTCCTGTCACTCCTTCACTCATTTTCATAATGAGCTTCGATCAATTCAAAGTTATGATCCCCGAAAACAAAAGGATTTAATGAAAAGAACTCTTGTCTTGTCAATGTCCATTTTGGGATACCTTCTGCTCAGTTCTGTTGTTTCCTCAACATCTTTAGGTTTGCATGGTGGTTATACAGGTTTCAGGTCTTGTTAATGCTTTCTAAAGATTCAAGAGGGCCATGACATTAGGCTAGGAGTTTTAAAATTCCTCTTGAACAATTTATAGGCTCAATTATTGGCTCTATGTTGTATCTGGTTTGGTTGGTTATGGCTGTATATCTTAATAAATGATTTTTCTGCACCGAAAATGGGTTTCTGGAACCTTGATATACCTTTTCACACATTCTTACATTTGGATAGCATGTTCTGTAGTATTACACATTGAATGTTTATATTATTTTATACTAAAGAATCATTATGTACCTATTTATGATTCTTAATTCATCAATTGATAGCAGGCATAATTTAACTATTACTTGTAAAAGGGAAATAATGCATATTTCTGTGAGGTAGTTTAAGATTTGTTTAGAAAAATACATAAACAACTCTTAATATTGCTGTACTGTGGTTTTAAATTTAGGAGCCTGTTTTGTTATAGTGAGCACCCTAAATATCCCACATGCAGGACTGCCCTAAAAATGCTTCACGTATAAAAAGCAGTCCATACAATAATTACAGCAAATAAGGTACATCAAAAACAGGTTTATGACTTAGTTTTTCTGCAATGCCATGTTAAAATGCACTCCTTCTGCATTCTGGTTTTATATGTGACTAATTCAGTGGGTGAAAGGTACTAAAAGTGAAGGGGGGAGACAATTAGAGAAGGCTGCTTGGCTTCCAAGTTCTAAGAACACACACCAAGTTTTACTGATAAGCTCCCCCCTTCACTTTCCAAAATCTCAAACAGGAAGCAGGAGATAATTTGTAAGGGGCCTAAACTCAGCCATTTGCTCAGGTTCAAAAAGTCACATCTGCACAACAGCAAAGCAGTGTTTGAAATTAAAAAAAAAAAACAAGAAAAACTATTTTCAAATGATTTTACAGCTTGGAAAACTACTACACCAGACTTGCCGACCTACATGAAGCAATGTCATCCACAAACAGCAGACGCTTGCTGTGAAGTGAGGCTGCCTCTGTGCTGAACACCACACTAGTCATTTCAGACTGCAGTGACTCACCACTGCCACCAGGGACGCCTTCGATAAGCTGGCAGGGCAGCACAAGGGTGCTGTATGGGGGACTAGTGCTGCCGATCACACGCAGGCACAGTTGTGGCTGCAGCTGCTGTTGCACACACTGCGCTCAAAACCTTAAATCCGCCAGCTGCGGCCTCATGCAATATCAGAGCTTCCTCTGCCTGCCGCCAAGGTGGGGCGCAGACATCTTCGTACAAACCAGCGAGTGGGCTCGGGACATTGCAAAATAGAAAAGAGGAATCGCAACAAAGCTCAACTCTGCTGCCTGATTCACAATCCCTGGCCTAGGAAAAGCTGCCTGACCTCTCTGTGACTACGTACCACCCATGGTGAACGAAGGGAAGTACAGTTTGGTTCGAATCCACTGACCGTACCAATCAAGCACTCCAAAGCTCAACTCTGAGTGCTTGTATTTCTCACACACACTTATCATTTTCACAAATATTTATAATTTCCTTGCTGTTTGGAAAGAAAAGCTTTTGCCTTGCACTACTAACTGTAAACTCACCCTCCAATTTAGTCTTTTATAAATATTTGCTGTGTTAATGCACAATCGGGACATAAAGAAAAAAAATGAAAGAGTTGAGCCGTCATACACTAGAAGGAAAAAAAAACATCAAAGAGCAGTACCGAGAAAGCGTGGAGCTTGTACATCAGTGAAGAAGCACAATTTAAGTGTGCCTAAAAGCCCCTTGAAAGTACGAGTCTGCTCAATGGCAAAGAAAACATGTGTTGTGGATGTGGCACAGTGACAGCATGAACAAGTGCTGAGAACAGCTGAGGACAGGGACAGCTGAGAGGAAACCTGAGCGCTCAGGAGGGCTGTTAACTCCCTCCGCACCAGGGGGTCTCA